AGCACCCAATGCACATAGTAGGAGATTTTGTTTCTTTTCTTTAAAACAACTAAGTTTAATGTCTTCCCCATAGAGCCTGATTCATTTGCTAGATTGAATGCATTTCAAATCATTGTTGACATAAATAAGCGCACCTTTGCTCCCCTAGACAATAGGAGCTTGTCGTCGCGGCAATGGCTCTCGTTCCAGGCTCCCACCGTGTGCACCCAGCGTCCGGAGCGCGCTTGTGGGAGCGAGGCGGTTCAGGTGAGCGCGGCGGTGCCGAGAGGCCAGGGAGGGAGGAGGGTCTGGAAGCGGGTGACCGGAAGGGCCCGGGTACAACTTGCCCGCAGTTTCCCCCGAAAGCACGTGCAGGGCGGCCCCAGCGCCCTCCTCGGTCTCTTCCCCGGGTCTCGTGTGCCGAGGTTGCGGCTTTGCTTCCGCCGGGGGAGCGAGGGAGCGGCTCACATCTGCCCCGGGACCTTCAGGTGCCCCGTGTGCCGAGGGTGACAGTGACAGGGATGGCGCTCACCCGCCTTTCCGTCCCCAGCTCGTGGAGGAGTGGCATTCGGTGCGCTGTGCCATCGCTTCCGACAGAGAAAACGTGACGGTGGCAGCGGAGCTCGCCGCGAGTCAGTCTGAGCAGGTACTTGAGGCTGCGAAATGCCCCCGATGGGCTTGTCCTGCAGCTCCCGGCACCTGTCTCCCCTAGAAAGAGCCCTGGCTGGACCGCCCATCTCCAGTATCACATGCCCTTGGCCCCCCTTCTGCCGCAACCCGCTCCTTACGCCGCTACTCAGGGCAGCTCACCTCCCCAGTTACTTTCTAGGAACTTCTTGGGCCTCCTCCCTTTCTTACTGGCGCAAGCGTGTTACCACAGCAAACTCTCCCCTTCCACCTCCAGAATACATTCTAAGTCCGTTCACTCCTGCTTGGCCGCTGCTACCCTGTCGTCCAGGCTGCCCTCTTTGGCCCAGGCTGTTGCCCCAGCCTCCTGTCTGCTCTTCTCGCCTCTGCTCTTGCCATGCCCTTCTCCGAACATTCCCCACAGCCACCTTTTATTTTGTATTTATTTTTATTTTTTGTTAATCCTCACCCTAGGATATTTTTCCATTGATTTTTAGAGAGTGGAAGAGAGAGGGAAAGACAAAGAGAAATGTTGATGTGAGAGAAACGCATTGATTGGTTGCCTCCTGCACGCGCCCAGACCAGGCCTCGGCCAGGGGGGAGCCTGCAACTGAGGTACTGTGCCCTTGATCAGAATCGGTCCCCAGGCCGATGCTCTATCCACTGAGCCAAACTGGCTAGGGCAACAGCTACCTTTTAAAAACAAACATTATGCTTTTTTTATACATTTATCCTAAAATTCATACCTTTTCAGTAGTCTGCAAGGCCCTGTGTGATCTGGTCGCCGATTTCTTCTTCGACTTCGTCTCCTCTTACTCTCCTCTGCCCAGCTTCTTGTGCTCCAGCTGTTCTGTCCTTTCTGTGCCTCCATATTGTTCCATGTTGTTCTGGCCACAGGCCCTTTGTACTTGCTCTTCCTTCTCCGTGACATTCTTCTTTTTTTTTTTTTAAATATATTTTATTGATTTTTTACAGAGAGGAAGGGAGAGAGATAGAGAGTCAGAAACATCGATGAGAGAGAAACATCAATCAGCCGCCTCCTGCACATCCCCTACTGGGGAAGTGCCCGCAACCAAGGTACATGCCCCTGACTGGAATCGAACCTGGGACCTTTCAGTCCGCAGGCCGACGATCTATCCACTGAGCCAAACCGGTTTTGGCAACATTATTCTTCTCCCAGATCTTCATGTGTGTGGTTTCTTGTATTTAGCTCACATGTAACCTTCTTGGAGAGGCCTTCCTTGAATACTCACTCAAAAGTGGGAACTACAGCCCAGTGTAATGTCTTGCAGTGACCCAGATGACTGATGAGATCGGAACTGAAGAAATAGCTATGGGAATGGAGGCAAAGGGACAGGTGCAAGAGAGTCTCAAAAAAAGGAAAAAGGGCCCTGGCCAGTGTGGCTCAGTGCATAGAGCATTGGCCCATGCACCAAAAGGATGGCAGGTTTGATTCCTGGTCAAGGGCACATATCTGGGTTGCAGGTCCAATTCTGAGCCCCAGTCCCTCTCACATGAATGTTTCACTCCTT